ACAAGAAGACAGACAACGCCGCGGCCATAGTCTCCCAGAGATAGCATATGTTTCGTTTGCAGTCCGTGTCATGGCGTCTCTGTGGCGGCACCGCGCCCCTTCTCTCCCTCAAGAGGTTCTGACTGCGGCCTTCTGTCTCTTCGGCAACGGGACTGGCCAGGGGTCCTTTCTCTGAGCAGTCTGGTCCGCCCCAATTGGGACCCCAAGCAGGAGCGTTGACAGCAAGATGGGCTTCGAGCGGCTCACTCTTGACATCGAGAAGGCCTGGAGCTGGGCCGGTTTACTAGGCCTCCCAGCGATGCGTCGGGTTCAAAGGGTGTTTTCAGGGAGGCGATGGCAGCAGGCACTTCTGAAACAAATTCACGACCGCCCCCTGTTTATGGATTCTGTCATGCTACAACTGCAAAATCCGTCATTGAACCATTAACCTCGAGCCCGAAACTCTACATGAGGCTGTGGTAGCCCGCTGCCGAGAGCTGGTGATGGAGGCTTGCGATGGCTTGCATAAAAGTAGAACAACCTGAGGTCTTTGAGGTTTGCTATGGTGGTCCCATTGGAGCCCTCCGCCATCTGACGTTCTCCGTTACAGTGCCCCTGACAGGCCAATTCAGCAGGCCTGCAGACTGCGGCCTTGACCATCCAGGCAAAGTGGACGTGCTGCAACCACCATGTCGTTTCGTCGGCGACGAAGACGAAGATGAGAGTGATTAGCCACCCGTGTCTCCATCTCTGCCCCACGCAATGGTCGCACTTGTAGCATCATTCTTGCGGTGGCTGATCTGATTCAAAATGTCGTCGTTGACGACAGCGACGAGAGTGATTGTCTACCGTAGAGAGGTCGCAGTGGTTGTGGTGGGAGCACACTTCGCGGCAACTGTCGAGCGACAGCGATGATGGAAGTGATGAGCCCAAAAGACTGAGACTGCGGATGGGAATAATGATGTTGATGAAGGCGGTGATGAATATATTATAGCCGAATTATAGCGATCCGGATGATCTTGAATGCGGTCTTTGAATGTCGTTGATGTTATTGATGGTGGTGACAAGGATCGTGTGCACTGATAGTGGTGGCGATGGCGATGGCAGCGGTGGTGATGGTGACGGTGCGGTGGCAGATCAGGCTCAGAGCTGTGGTCGGTGGTGTGAGTTCTCCTCATCCATGTTGATCTGACGATGCTGCCAGAGTGTTTGCTCAAAGCTTGGCGTCTCCAGCTTCCCACATAGCTGGTCAGCGGCGGCTATTGCACATGCGTGATGATGCCAAAGCTGCAAGCGTTTCCGAAGATTTAGGTATGTCTGGGCCCATGCATCAGCTTTGCAGCAACCTCAGCTCCTCAGGGAGGACCACTGGCCACACCAGAACAGAGACACGACGAAGGCGGGGTTTCAACGCTTTAGATTCCGAATCATACGCAAAGCCCCAAGCAAAGCAATGGTCTTGGCGAAGGCCAGCCTCCCTTCGCGAGGGAGACCTCGGGGCCAATAGCGCGGGGCCCTCTGAAAGGGCCCAGGGCTTTCATTTGCCTCAGGCCACGGAGCTGGAGGGCCTTTCTTCGGGGCAGGTGAGGATTTGGGGTGCGAAGAATGACGAGTAGTCAGAGCAACACCATTGGCCCATGAATCTGGAATGGAGGCGGTTCCCAAACGCCGAACCAACCCTCAGACAAGGCATGGAGGCTCGCTCGTGCAGCCAGCGCCCGAGGATCGGCGAGTTTGCAGTCGTATACGTCTCCTCGAGTTTGCAATTGTCCTACTTTGTGTGCAGTCGCTGAAGTCACGAATCACTCGTTGTTAGTTTGTCATCTGGTCGTCCAGAAGCTCTCGCGCGCTGGCCCCATTGCGTGGCATGCCTGTGGAAGACACTGCAGTGCAGATTTGCACGCACACTGTGCTGTCATTAAGGCGGCCCTACTATTCCTCCTCCTCCTCCTACTACTACTGCTGCTACTGCTGCTACGACGACGACGACGACTACTACTACGTACTACTATCGAATCTTCGGGTCTTCTGGCAAGTCAAGCGCTAACCGCTTATCCGGCCAAGGCAAGGCAAGGACAAGGACAAGGATGGCACCGACCAAGAAGACTCGCCAGCCCCTTAGGCTTCCATGTTGCGCATGCTGCTGATGGTGATGATAATTGGACGCTAATGGTGAAGTTGATGAAGATGTGCTGAGGGCGATGATAGTAATAGGGGAGCAGGTGATGATGCTGTTGATGTTCTTGAGGGTCGGTGATGGTTCCGGTATGTTCGGGCGGCGATTATGGGAATCTGTTACTGGTGAGTGATAAGACGAGAGAGAGGAACAGATGGATAGTATCGACAACAATGTCCACGGCGATTGTGACCTTGATGATGGTAATCAATGGTGACGGTTGATGTGGTGATGTTGATGGCCAGACATGAAGCTGAACATAAAGATAGTTTGCACGTAGCCGGTTTTGCTTGAGATCAGCTGCAACAACCTACGGGTTGGATTCCCAACAGCGGTCAGCCGTTCAACAGTAACGATGCTATGCCACCACCAACAATTGTCATGACTCATGACAGTATGCACGGCACGGGCGACAGCGACGACAACGACCAGGACGAGGAGGACGACGAGGACGACGACGGCGACGAAACCAAGATATGGGGGGAGGAGGAGGAGGCAGCGTCGGAGGAGGACGAGAGCGCGAGGTCGAGGTCGAGGTCGAGGCCGACGACGAGGAAGAGGAAGAGGACGCAGAGAAGAGGACGACTGCTGCTGCTGCTGCTGCTGCTGCTGCCACTGCTGCTCCTGATGCTGATCTGATGCTGCTGCTGCTGCTGCTCCTCCTGCTCCTGCTCCGCCTATTGCTACTGCTGCTGCTGCTACTACTACTACTACTACTACCACCACCTTCTACTCTTCTATTACTTCTGCTACTTCTACTACTACGACGACGACGACTGCGACTACGACGACGTCGACGACTACTTCTACCACCACTACGACTACTCGTTGTATTTCTATTACCACGACGGCTACGACGACGTGTACGACTACTACCATTCCTACTACTTTAGCTACTTCTACTCATACCCATACTTGCTGCTACCGCTGGTGCCGCTGCACTACCACTGCCACTGCACTATCACTACCACTACTGCTATCACCATCACCATCGCATCACCATTACCATCACCATCGCCATCACCATCACCATCACCATCACCATCACCATCACCATCACCATCACCATCACCATCACCATCACCATCACCATCACCATCACATCACCATCACCATAACTATCACGATCGCTGTCACTCTCACTACCACCACCTACCACCTACCACTTCTCCCCCCTGTCGCTGCCGACTGCCACTGCCATTGTTGTTGTTGTTGTTGCTGCTGCTGCTGCTGCTATGACTGTGAACACGACGACAACTACTCTTCCTTAAACTGCTACTGTTACCACTACCTGCTGCGACTAGTACTTACACTACTTTTGTGCCTGCCCAAAGGAAGGTGAACTGGCAGACACTCGGCTGGTCTCTTGCGAAGAAGCAGCCGCTCTCTGCCGAAATCTGCAGAGTCAATGCAGAGAAAGGCAGGGGGTGCACGGTTACCAGGGGGCTGCTTCCAGTTCAGGCCCTGCAGAGTTGCGGGTTGTGTTAATACAAGAGCAGCAATGTTGTTTTTGGTGCCATTGATCGTCCTTCCTCCACTTGGGTCGTATACGTCAAAGTTGGTGCAAGTTCACAGGCCCCATGAATCCCCATGACCATTTTTGTAAGCACGCAGACAGGAGCGAGAAACCCTCCAATCCAAGTGGCAGGAACCGACGATGCAGGTCTGAAGGAACAGCGCGACGGAGTCATGCTGCTGCAGAGGTGCCATCTTTTGCATATTGTGGGTCTGCTTGATCGAGTAGATGCTTTTCCAGCATACCTCACCTTTTGCAGGAGCCTTGCGTATCTGATCCCGAAAGTCACAGAGGCCACGGCCCCTTCCTGCATAGCCTTCTTGAGGTTCATTCCGTCGGGTCGACTCGAACCCTTGAGTTGAAAGTTTTCGTCTATGCCCGTTTGCTTGCGGACAGTCGGCGCATTTCAGGGGGAGTGAGTTGTTATCAACTTGGCAAGGTTGACAATCCAAAGTAGAGGGTTCCGCCCCTCACAGAGAAGGGAAGGGGCATTTGTTGTTGTCTTTTTTCAAAGCCTTCCTGCGCGGAGGGCCTGTGTCCATACTGGTTCTTTGATCTACTTGCAGCGAAACAGAGTTTTGAAAAGTGTTGAGGCACAAGTCGCCAAACATCCAGGAAGCAGCAGCTCCACAGCAGCAAGAAGCAGCACGGGCAGGAGCCAGGAATCAGGATCTCCTGACGTTGTAGAGTCGGGTAAATAAGTGCGAGTCGCGAAGCAGCAGACCGGCCGGGGAGTGATGGACTGAGTCTGGACAGATGTACAATGAGTCGGGAAGGTGGAGGCGGTCCTTCGAGCTGCCTGGTTTTCAGATCACAAGTACATGTGTATTCAGTCACAAAGAACAGTACCTTTATCAAAAGAAGGGGGCGCCAAGGCGAGCAATGGGAATCGACAGTGCTTAAATCGGTTGCATGCACAATGGATCACAACGGGAACTTATTTGAGATGGAGTTGACGTTGATGGAATGCAATGACGGGGTGGAGTTCACGCATCCAACCGCCGTTTTCCCGGCGGCGCACCACCCACCCCCGTCCGAATGAAGAGCAACAAAAAGAAGGTGTGCAGCCGGTGCACATGGTGGAAGCGCATGGCAACAAACACTCTTGCTCGCGCCCAGCCGTTTTGGCTGCGAAGCGCAGGGAACAGGAGCTCTCCGCCCTTAAAAACCGGAGCCCAGGAGTTCTATGCCTGCTTGGGTGAGTGGTGATGGCCTCAGGACGGCCTCGGACCGCAGCATGTCAAACATGTATCTCTCCTTGTTGCCAGCAGAGCCTTTGTTGCAGAGCTTCACGTGGAAGCACTTCAATCATTTGGGGCGGGCAGTAACATGGGGCCAGAAAGGATATGACGTCGTCACGGACAGAAAGCGTATTTCTGAGGTGTAAGAAAACGACGGAAGCCGTCGAGCTTTTCCAGAACTTCCACCACATCTCCAGCGAACAAGCGGCCGGGCGCTGTGTGAGTCTGGTGCGCCGGATGAGTTTCGATTTTCAGCCTTGGGATGACGAGGAGGTTTGACTTGCGCTTCATGCGGCCGTAGGCATGGCCTGCCTACACCCGCCCCCAACCGAATCCGAAGCTCTACATTCTGAACTCCTACACCCGCGCCTGCCCGAACCGAAACACGAACCCTCGGCATTTGACGCTACACCCAGAATCCAAACTCGAAGCCTTCCACTGTGATGGCTGAGCCCTAAGGCTTTGTGTGCCCAAGCGACGTTATTGAGCAGCCTATCACGATGGATGAGCTGCAGCCAAGGTAGTGGACTCCAAGATGTGGGACAAACTGTCCGACGAGGTCAAGATGAAAGATGAGAAGGAGGGGTCTTCCTTGCGGCGCAGATTACAGGTTCAGCCTACTCGTGGTTAGGCCTGTGCTTAAGCATGCTGAATTTAGTAGCCGGGAGAGTATGCCAGCGTGTCATTCGGGCATTGCTCTAAACACAGGTTTCTTTCATGCTCGTCCAGGGCCGGATTTTTTTATCTGTAGTGCCGAGTGGCAGAAGTCGTGCAGATGTAGACTGCATCCCGAATCAGGCACCCAGTTCATAGGCTGTTCCTAGAAGCTTGCAGCATCGCAAGGAAGCAAAGAAGAGGGAAGACCGGCGGAAGGATCAGAAGAATCGCGAGCAGGACTCACACCAATCCCTCCTTTGCGAAGTCCTTAGCGGACTTGGCCTGGTTGGAGGTTTCCGTCTTTCAAGAGGATCAGCCTTTGAGGTTCGGTGGCCAGACACACTGTTTTTGTCTCTATCTCTCTCTTTCTCCCTCTGGTTTCGGCATCTTTTTTTCATGTCTATGCCCTTCGGAGAATCTAAAGGATTGACAAGTAGATGCGAGATTTGTATCATGCGTACATCCATATGCCGTAGATGTGCATACCTCATATCTGTGCAGCATATCTTACGTACATCGCCCGGCTGCGTACATCTCCCTAAGACAGCAACATTCACTTGCGTGTCCTTTGGAGGAGAAGCTGCAGCGAAAGGAGCATCGGAACCTCGAAAGCTCCAATATGCCGGGAACTCAAGTATCCGTATATCAGAACCCGTGTGCGATACACGACGCATAGCATGACATATCATGTTACGCCACACAAACGTATATGTACACAGTACACACATGCCTGAACATAAGTAAACCGATGCATAAATCAATGAGTGAGTGAATCGATGTTGGTGTTGTCAGTCTACGAAACATCATGAAGTCGGGGAGTATGCAAACTGAAGACCCTGGTGGAGGGGGACAGGTAAGAGCTGGTTAATACATGTACACAATGCACTAGCTTGAGACCTTCTCCAGGCACTTGTTCTCATTAGTTTCAGCTCAGATTGATGTTGTTGCGGCTGAATCATTAAAGATGTCATTTCCTGCGTGTTGCATGGTTCTCGCATTTGACAAAACACACAATACGTGCTTTCAGCCGGAGCTCTGTCGTGTTCAGCAGACAATATGCATGCGCACATGCTCGACATAGTTGAGCGTGTTTCTCTGTGTCTAACCTCATGTGTATGCGCTGGTATCTATACGTTATATCTATACTTACATGCATGTACTTGCATAGCTACGCACGCAAGAATGACCAAACTGCATGAGCATGCTCCCCCATCCTTAACCTCATGTATGAATGCATGCATGCATGCATGTATCACATGCCTGTGTTTGTCGAGGGAGCGATGGTGTCACATCGTGCATACCAGTTGAGCTCGTTCGCGCTCCATCTAGGTGAAACCCCAGCAAGTGGCCGTTACATAGCCAAGACGATGTCTATGTGCTTGATGATAATGTTTCGTTTCCGGGTCTGTGGTCTCGATGAATTTGAGAATAGTTGTTTGAACTCTTACTTGTTTTTCTAGCATCGAGCCGAATTTTGAGCTGGCCTTTGGCCTCGCGCATGGGGGATGTGACAATCGGGCACAGCTATAAGCCGGGGCGCAAATGCGTCTGGTCCCGATATCACTCGCAGAGATCACGGATTTTGCAGTGCGGAAGTGAAGTATGCTTGTACGCACGTGTGTGTATGTATGTATGTATGTATGTATGTATGTATGTATGTATGTATGTATGTATGTATGTACATTCCATCCCAAAGTTGTTAGACAGGTTCGTGTAGAGTTTTATTTTAAACGCTTGCCGCCGTCTGCCTCGGCCCGGTCGTACTTGAAGCAGGTGCAGTGTTTCGGACAGCAAGAGGTAGGTCACACAGGCGAAGTCGTGAGTGAATGACTGCGCCTGCTTCAGAACGTGTTGTAATGTGAGTAGTTGTGTTAATGCTGAGGATCTGAGCAATAATCCTACGCGATTGCATGCAATAGTGCAAAGACGTTGTGGCCTGAGTTTCAGGTGCTGTGAAATGTGCGGGAGAACTTTGCAACAAAGTACAAGACACAACCTTTGAGTTGCCGCGCTTTGGCATCGAATTCGCGAATGATGCAAGCTAGCTTTCTTGGCCTGGCTGTAAGCAAAAGACAAGGAAAGGGACGGGTAAAGAAAGAAAGAAGCGGGGGTCGGGGGCCGGATAGGGGGGGGCGGGGAGGTGGAAGCAGGGATTCGCTGGTAGTTGCCTAGATTGCTTACATGCAGTGGGTGGAGGCACGCACGGCGGAAGGGTCCGAGACTCTGTCGAGGTACAAGAACATGATGGATGCCTGCCAGATCAACCTTGGCAGCGTGTCCGGCGATGCCCTCGGTAGGCTTATCCGACTCCCTTGTGATCAGATTTGAGATTTGAGTGACAGAGGTTGAAACGGCTGAGGATGTCAACTTGATGGGCCCTCCCTCTTTGGCTTGAGCGTAGCTGCGTAGCTTGCTGTGGAGCTACATATGCTCCGGAAAGCAGCATTGTGGCAACGTGCCCCTCATGGCTTCCCCAGCCCAGCCCGACGTGGAGAGCCCAGCGAAGAGTAGCAAGAGCAAGCAGGAGGCTGAGCAGGAGAGACGTTTGGCAGAGGCCAAGAAGCACGTCAAGGAGCTGGAGTCCCAGGTGCTTTGCTTTCCTATCACAGACCCCCTTTTCTTTTTGGTGATCCTTTGCCGCCTTCCTGTATCTTAGCCGCCTTAGCCTCCTTGTCCGAAGGTGGTGATCAAAAGCCCTGAAGAGCTCAAGGCTTCCGCCAAAGACTTCCGGGACCAGAATGCTTGCACGCTCTACGACGAGACAACGCAGACGTACAAGTACAGGTCTTGCTGTGGAACGAAGGTGTCCGACCTGGGCGTCTACGGGGTCGGAGTTGCCCTTTACTTCCAGTTCATTCGGCAGATGGGCGTTGTTTTCCTTCTGTGTGCCATTGTCTTGGGCCCAAATCTGGCCTTCAACATAATGGGCAACATGGTGAACGAGAACAGTGCCCTCTACAAATACCTGGGAATGACCACGATCGGAAACCTGGGTGCGTGCGAGGGTGCCCTTTGCGAGACGGATGAGGACTTGCGCAATCGCTGCCTCATCGACGAGTTTCCTTGTGAGACGATGCTGAAGGCGGACAGTGGTAAGAAAGAGATAGATCAAGAAGGTAACGCCGTAAAGTGGGACCCTATAGCAGGACTGTTTTGTACAATTGGAGAACTGGCATGTCGTTCAATAGGTCCCGTCCCCAGGCAACCATGGCTCCCAAAACCTGTCCTGATTCTCTGCCTAACGCCCCCCACCCGCCCATAACAGTTTTCACTCTCTCGACCTCTTTTTCTGTTCCCTCGTTCTCCCTCTCTTTCCCTCCTTCTCCGACTCTCCCTTCCTCGGGCTTCTCACTCCTGCTTGTTCCACGTTCGCCCAATTTCTATCCTGTCGGCTCGCTCTCTCCTTGTGTTATGTATCGTTTCTCAACAGGAAGTCACGCAGTGGCTCGGCATGGCTGCAGCTTGGTCCCATCGTTAAGGTTCAGGGCAGTGGGTTGAGAGTCAGGCTTCTGAAGCTTCGTATTCTTGGGGCGGAAGCAGCATAGGATCTGATAGCCAGCTATTCGACATGACATTGCTGCACTTCACTGAGTCATATTTCATCCATCGCAGTATGCATGTACGTACGTCTGCATGCATGCATGCATCCATGCATGCATGGATGTATGTATGTATGTATGTATATGTATGTATGTATGTTTATGTATGTATATGTATGTATATGTGTGTACATGTATGTATTTGTATACATATATGTATGTACATGTATGTATATGTATGTATATGTCTGTATATGTTTTCATATGTATGTATATGTATGTATATGTATGTTTATGTATGTATATGTATGTGTATGTATGTATATGCATGTAGATACACATACATACATGCATGTATGTGTGTCTATGCGTATGTATATCTGTGTATATGTATGCACCTGTATGCATCTGTATTCACAGGTATATATATCTTTATGAGTAATGTTAGGTGCGGGTCTATGTGTATGCATACATATGCCCGTGCATAATCGCATAATCATAAGTATGTGCAGATGTGTATTTGTATGCCTGTGTATGTGCATATACATATATATATATATGTATATATATATGTACGTAAGACCTTTAGGGTCTATT